ATATATATATATACACGTGAATATATGTATCAAAAAATATGAAAGGATATTTACTAAAATGTAAAAAGTGATCATCCCTGGGTCATGGGATTTTGGGTTAAATTTCCTCTTATCTGTATTTTCAACCTTTTTAAACTGAGCATATATTAATTTTTAAAAATATTCTTTTGAAATGACTTTTCAGGGAGGAAAACCTATTAATATCCTGACCTGTCCATTTCTCTCTTTTTATTGAAAGCTTTTCAGGAATCACAAAGAAGATTCTTAACCCAGTGACAACCAAACTCAAAGATGTACAGAGACATTTAAAAGCACTGCTTCCTCCTGATGCTGTGTTAGTGGGCCATTCCTTAGACTTGGATCTCAGAGCACTGAAAGTGAGTATCTGACTTAGTTTTTCCAGTATATATGCCTTTTCCATTTATTTCAAATCTAAAGTCTTGGGTTCTTTTATTCCCTCAGCCCACTTGTTTTTTCCTTTAGCATAGGATGCTACTCATTCTATTCTCTTTCCTCCTCAGATGATACATCCATATGTTATTGATACATCATTGCTTTATGTCAGAGAGCAGGGCAGAAGATTTAAGCTAAAGTTCTTAGCCAAAGCTATTTTGGGGTAGGTTGTTTGCATATTATAATATTGTCCTGACAAGTTGCATATAAGTTAACATATGATTTCTTATTTAATGCATATTGCAAATTTCAGGGTCTCTGTTCTCCCTCTTAGTCTGTAAACATTATTCTTTTCCCTTCTTATGAATCCTGGGATCCTAACTCCAGAGAAGTATGACTCAGAGATGAAGAAACTATGGGAATACTAAAAGGGGTTTACATTCACATCTGAGGGTTGATGGATAGAACTGGACAGAACCGTCAGAAAAGTTAACCAGAATTTGAAAACATAATGTTCTTATACTGAATGTATCTTCTTATGTACAAACACATGTGTATGAAGATGTTCATTATAGTATGGTTTAAAACAGCCAAAAACTGCAAATATTCTGTAGGAGTGGTTAAATAAATTACATTTATCTATATTATTGAATACTTTGTTACTGTTAAAAGAATGTGATGGATCTGTATGTGCTAATAAGGAACTCTCTTAAAGTACTACTGAGAATAAAATGGAGATGCAGAACAAGATCTATATATGCCTAGATACCAGTATGATATAGATTAGATCTAGATAAATTTATAGACACAAACATACGTACTTTTTTAAGGTTTTTGAAAAAGACCAAGAAAAAATTTAAGTACCTATAGACACTTGATTGCAAATATAAAATTTCTGGAAGGTGACTTTAAATAGTGATTACATCTAAAAGAATGAGGCAAGGTGTTGACTGGGGAGTGGCCAGAGACTTTATTGGGTAGCCTTTTGTCCAGATGATATGCTTGCTGTAGACAAAGGCATTCGTGATCATTATACGTCATCAGTGCCTCTTACTCCAGGTACTCTCCTGGCACTTAGAAATAAAGGAATCTTGATTGTTGTGATAAAATCTGATTATCAGATTGCTGAAATTTTACATGTAACCAGAATATTAGAGGTGGTTCAAAGAACCTATCATTGAAAATGCTGTCGAGTATGTCAGCTTTATCTTGACTTTCCAGGAAGGATATACAGTGTCCAGATAGGCTTGGTCATGATGCCATAGAAGATGCTAGAACCACCCTTGAATTGGCTCGGTATTTCCTTAAGTATGGCCCAAGGAAGGTTAGTATCTTTGACCTATATGTTTGCTTTTCTTAAAATTATGAGACTAGAACAGGTAGTCACAGACCATTTCATGTTGTTAACCTTTCTGTACAAAAGTAGGAGTGTAATTCAAGCTGAGCATTTGGAATTAAGACCTGTATGACTAGCATAATGTAGTAGTTAAGTATGTAGTCTCTGAAGTTGGGCTTATCTGTTTTTAAATAAAGATGGTACAGGGGCACGTGGCTTATTCAGTCAATGGAGCATGTGACTCTTGATCTCGGGGTTGTGAGTTTGAGCCCCATGTTGGGTGTAGAGATTACTTTAAAATCTTAAAGGAAAAAAGATAGTACTGTGTTTAGCTACATAATCTGGGTCAGTTTCTCTAAAGAACTTCAGTTTTACGTCTGTAAAATGGAAACACATTTCTCTGGGATATTGGTGAGGGTAAATGAGATATTTTATATAAAGCTGTTAGTACAGTGCCTTGAATATATTAAGCACTATAATGTGTGGCTCATTGTATGCTGATAATTGTAATAATTATGAAAAGTCTACATAGAATTTTGCTCTTTTGGGGTGAGGGGAGCATGCCATTGTTTCAGCAGCAGTTCGGTGGGTGTAGATTAGAACAGCACATAAGGGAGACGTTGATGGAGACTGTTTCTTACAGACATTGTTAGAATGCATTCTAACTTATTAGATTGTCCCATTGCATGATATGTTCTGTCATGACTCCACTATGAAATAAATTGTAGTCTGTGTAGAATCATAAGCATCCAGAATAGTGTTTTGTGTCACAGTGGTAGAAAGACATTCTAAAATGTCTTATGGGATATATAAATAATGATAATAGTTTGGATCTCACGCTCTACGTTGCAACTCCCAAGTGGTCTCCCACTTTATGGAAGAAGAATAAACTGATTTTGTATTAAACCAATAAAAGATCTTTTTTTGATGTTGCCGTAAAGGCCATTTTTTTATAATTTCCAAAAGTTGTATGTTCACAAAGAAGTAAATTTTAAGTGACTGTGGGATCAGTGATGAGCCCAAATTGCCATCACTTTATACTTAGCTTTACTTGGCCCTTTCCCATATTCATGTAACATCAGCAGCTGGTAACAGATTGCCATTCTTGGCTAAGCGGTCAGAAACCATCTGGTAGCTATTGAAGCCAACCTGGGACTATGGCAATGGCAAAGCCACTGTCTACAGAAGTAGAGAACACCACTTGAGTGGGCTTTTCTTGGATTTTTTTGCTTTTTGGTGTTTTATTTTACTTTAAAACTCAAATGCTTTGTAGGGAATTAGATGATTTTTACCATTTTATTTTCTTCAAGATTGCAGAACTAAATCTGGAGGCACTAGCTAGTCACCAAGAATTGTTAGCAGCAGGCCAAGAGCTGAGAAATACAGCAGAAATAGTTTATCAGCCAAACACAAGGTAATATTTTTCAGTTCTAAACAAGAACAAAAACAAATAGAGTGTCTGGTTTCTTATTTACACAACTTGTGAGTTTTTTTTTCCTTTTTTGAGTCTGTTGAGAAGTGTTTACCAATAGTATGAATAACATTCTACCATCACAAAAACCATGGAGGGAAAAATACCCTTACCTTCCACCCTAAATAGTACCTATTTGTTTTTCTTATCTTCTAAATGTAGTGACTGGTCTTAACTCTTTTACCAAAAAGGAAGACATTGAAATATAGTGAACTAAGTAGCATTAGGGGAGATGATAGACTAGTGAGTATTTTGATTAGAAGAGTCACCTATAGCCTTGATGTATTGCCCAGATTAGGGAAGAACAAAAAACAGGCCTGGAAGGAGTTCATCAGCACACCATAATAAATATGTCAGATCGTTAGAATATAAACTTGTTAGAGAGCTTTGAGTATTTTTCATGTTTATCCTTTCTTCCCCTAAATATAGAGCAATACTGTCCATTATGCCTTTTGCAGTGATGGAATTGTTTTAGATCTGTGCTGTCCAGTAAGGTCCACACAATACAGTACGTGTGACTAATGCGTATTGAGGAACTGAACTGTAATTTTATTTGATACTAATTTTAATTTAAATAGCCACATGTTGCTAGTGGCTACCTTATTTAGACAGTGCAAGTACAGAGAAGTAAGTCTTAGGTTAGGGAAAACTGTTGTTCTTCCCTTGATCTCTTCTACTTCTTTACAGTGTTTTAGAATGCTTGGACTTAATGGGTCAGAAGCTCCTTTTCTTGACCCGGGAAGCAGAAACTAGTGAACTTTGTTCTGCCAGAAACTGTCAAACTATTAAGTGCCTTTCAAATAAAGAGGTGAGTGACCTGCTGTCTCTTTGAAGGTTGTGCTCAAAGCCGAAATTCATGCTAAGCATCAGGTTTTTTTTCATCAACAACCCTGGCTATCATTATCAAGTCTGGCTTTTGTCTCACATGTTATATGGAGCACTTTTAGTCCCAGTTACCCCACCGGAGCAGAACTGTCAGCTGCCAGTGTCTGCTTGCAGACCCCACCTTTGGTATTGCACACAACTTTGAATTTCTGTTCTTTTTCTGGCTTACAGAGATGTTTATCTTAGTTAAATTTTAGCCTGACTTTATTTTTTTGGTTTTCTCTTCTTAAATTTTATCTATTATTGCTGTATGTGAAAGTTGAAGGGATGTATTGCAGCATGAACTTAGGTCATTTTATTCAGAAGATCTCTATATATATTTTAATTTTATCTGGAAAGAATTTCAAACTTACAGAAAACTTGCATGAATGGTGGTATATACCTTCTATCTATATTCATCTTCTGTTAATGTTCTGCCCTATTTGCTTTATTTGTGTGTGTGCTGGCATGCTTATGCTCCCTTGCTATTTCTATCTTCCTCTTTCTATATGACATTTTATTTTTGAAACCATTTGGTTGCTTCATAGATCATGGCCCTTTTCCTCTAGATACTTCAGTGTATATTTCCTGAGAATAGAAATATTCTCTTACATAACCGTAATAAATGTCAGTAAAGTTAATATTGATACAGTACCTTTCTCTAATTTCATCTGTATTCCAGTTTTCTTAGTTGACCCAGTAATGTCCTTTAGCATTTCTTTTTGCTTCAGAACAGTATCTATACTAGGGTCACATATTGCATTTAGTTGTCCTATCTTTTTAGTTTCCTTTAATCTGGATACATCCCTTGACCTTTCTTTGTCTTTCATGGTAATTTTAAGTAATACATGTTGCATGTCACCCCACCCAGAATGTTCCTCATTATGGGTTTGTTTCCCCATGATTAGACACAGGTTATGCATTCTTTACCAAAATACTTGTAAATCATGTTTCCTTTTCAGTGTATCACATTCAGAGGCACATGTTGTCCATCTGTTCTTTATTTTGTGCTGTTTATTTTGATGACCTTAACAAGATATTGTCTGCTTTCTCCACTGTAGATTTACTACTTTTGTCCCTTCTAATAAGTAATATGAGGAGATAATTTAAGAATAGCACCAATCCTGCTTTTCATCAAAAATTCCCTGCTTATATTTAGCAAAAACTGTTGATTCCTACCTGATGGTTGCACAATGACGGTTTCCAACTCTAGCACTTCCTTCCTATTTACTAGTTGTTAGTTCAACAGTCTATAAGCAAGAGTACTGATTTTTTGTGGGAGGCGAGAGATCTGTCAACATGGAATACCTCATCTGAGGATGCATGCGAGTATGGAGATTCTTCTTAAGGGATGGAGCTGAGGGGACCACATTCAACGGAATATGTCAGCGACTTCGATAATCTCCATGCTTTTTTTATTACTGTTTTCATTTTCTCGAAGGAAGCGCTAGAAGCCGCTGGGGAAAGAGCTGGGAGAAAGGGAGAGTTGAAGATACAGAATAGAGTGTAAATAAATAATAAAGAATTCCTAGGAAGGCAGAAGTGACATCCTCTGGATTACTGTTTCTTGAACAGGAGAAAGGATACCTCTTCCACTAACCAGAGCTATGTGAACACAGGTTCAGGAGGCCCAGTGAATTACAAGCAGTATAAATAAGGAATCACATTAAAAAAAATTAATAAATTGCATTTAGACATATTGCAGGGAAATTGTATTTATTACCTCCCAAACAAATAGATATATTGGTAGCAAGCCAGAGAAAAGAAAATCACCTTCAAAGAGCAACAAATAGATTAACGGCCAATTTCTCAACAGCAGCAACAGGAATCAGAAGACAGTGAAAGCATTCTTCCAAGTCCCAACGAAGATGACTTTCAACTTACAAAAGTCTACCCAGCAAAACTGTTTCAAAATGAAAGTGGAATAAGTATGTTTTCAGATAAAGAAGAACATTTTATGACCAAAAAACTCTACTAAAAAGTTTTAAAAGGATGCATTTAAGGAAGAAGGAAAGTCTGAGATGCAAGCAGGAAAAATTTCTAGAGAAATTGGTGTGCATGTGCACAAATTTAAATATTGAATGTAAAAATAGCAAAATGAATCAGCTAAAAATAAGGGCCACAAATTACTTTGCTGTTTCCTTCTCTAAGTTTTAAAATTTTGACTCTATAAAAGTTCTATGGATAAAATATACAAAAAAAATAAAAACAGGTATGCTGCTAAAATATATGTATTATTTTATACAAATATATATTTATATAAATATATATTTTTATATAAATAAATATGTAGTTATATAAAAATAAAGGACAGATGGACAACAAAAGGAAGAGTCCTTCCTTTATTATTCATTCATTCATTCTGTGTGGTCTCATGGATTCCTGTTTAGTTCACTGGTTTATAATTTATGATTGTATTAAATTGTTTTGGTTTTCAAACTTCACAGATTTGGCTAGTGGTAGCCCCTTCAAGTTGGCTCCTTTGTCCTTGTGACATGGACCCATAATTTTTTTGAGCATTTTCCTTTCTAGCACAAGATATGTGCCACCCAGGCGCCCGGACATAAGTACATTCTTGGACGATAGAGAATTTAGGAAATCAGGAATAGATCTCAAGAAAATCCCTAATTATTTGGAAAATAAATAGCACACTTCTAAAAAACCATGAGCCAAAGAAGAAATCAAAAGGAAAATTAAGAATTCTGAACTGAATGAATAGGTGGCTCAGTCGTTAAGCATCTGTCTTTGGCTCAGGTCGTGATCCCAGGGTCCTGGGATCGAGCCCCGTGTCGAGCTCCCTGCTAAGCAGGAAGCCTGCTTCTCCCTCTCCCACTACCCCTACTTGTGTTCCCTCTCTTGCTGTGTCTCTCTCTGTCAAATAAATAAATGAAATCTTTGAAAAAAAAAAAAAAGAATGTACTTAGGTCCTTTGAATTACTTGAATCCTTTTAAATTTATTGAGAGATGGAATCTCCAACTATAATTGTGGATTTCTTTGTTCTTGGAGTTTTCGTTAATTTTTGCTTTATGTATAATGAAGCTTTCCTATTAGACACATAAACATTATGCATTATGTTTTCCTGATGAATTGGCCCCTTTATCATTACAAATAGGCCTCCTTTATCCCTGGAAACATTTTCTTTTTTTTTTTTTTTTAAAGACTTCATTCACTTATTTGAGAGAGTGAGAGCGGAAGAGAGAGAAGAAGCCAGGGGGAGAGGGAGAGGGAGAAGCAGACTACCCACTGAGCAGGGAGCCCGATGCGGGGCTTGATCCCAGGACCCCAGGGTCATGACCCGAGTTGAAAGCAGACGCTTAGCTGACTGAGCCACCCAGGCTCCCCTCTATTCTGACTTCTACTTTGGTGTTAATATAGCCCCTCCTGCTTCCTTTTGTTTATTGTTGACCTGGTATATATTTTTTTATTTTACATTTAGTCTATTTATATCTTTATATTTAAAGTGGGTTTCTTGAATAAATAAATAAAAATAAAGTGGGTTTCTTGTAGTGACCAGTTAGGCTTTGCATTTTTATTCAATCCAACAATCGTTGCCTTTTAAGTGGAGTAGTTAGGCTATTTGCATTTAATACGATTATTTGATGTTGTTAGGTTTAAGTCTCTTACCTTGCTATGATTTCTATTTGTCCCATCTCTTTTTTTTTTCTATTTATTTATTTTTTTGAGTTAATGAAGTATTTTTTATGATCTTATTTTATCTCCTTTGGCAGTGTATTAACTGTGATTCCTTGTGTTATTTTAGTGGGTGCGTTAGGATTTATAGTCTAACTTATCATAGTTTACCTTAATTACCATACTTACCTTAATACCTTAATAATGATATACCACTTCACATATAAGAACCTTACAACCATATATTTGCATTTTCCCCTCCTAGCTTTGGTGCCATTGTTGCCATCATTCATTTTACTTCTACATGTTGTTATTTTGCTTTAGTTTTTTTTTTTTTTTTTAAGATTTATTTAGATTAGGAGGGGAGGGTCAGAGGAAGAGGGAGAGAGTCTTAAGCGATGCAGGGTTCCATCTCAAGACCCTGAGATCATGACCTGAGCCGAAACTAAGAGTTAGACACTCAGCCAACTGCACCACCCAGGTGCAACTAAATAGTTATTTTTTAAAGATACTTTAATTTTTTGAGAAACTACTATAGTATTCACCATGGTAGTTGCAGCATTTTTTATACTCCTACCAAAAGTGCATAAGAATTCCAGCTTTTCCAAATCTCTGCCAACACTTTTACTTTTCTCTTTTTTTTTTTGATAGTAGCCATCCTAATGGGTGTGAGGTGATATCTCATGGTCATCTGGTAATTAGTGATGTTGAACCTCCTTTTTTTCTTGTGTTTGCTAGCCATTTGTATATAATCTTCTAAGAAATGTTTATTCAAGTCCCATTTTCAAACTGGGTTTTTGTTAAAGTTTTAGGAGTTCTTTATATATTTATATTCTGTATATTCTTTATATATTCTGGATTTTAATTCCCTGTCAGATACATGATTTGCAGACATTTTCTCATTCCATAGGTTGCCTTTTCACTCTGCTGATTGTGTGTTTTGATGAACTGAAAAGTTGTCTGTTTTGCTTTTGTTCTCTATGCTTTTGATGTCATACCTAAGAAATCATTGCCAGATCCAATATTATGAAGCTTTTCAAAACTCTATGTTTTCTTCTAGGAGTTTTCTAGTTCTGGATCTTACTTTTAGGTGTTTAATCTATATTGGCTTAATTTTTATATATATGTAAGATAAGGTTCCAACTTCCCTCTTTTCCATGTGGATATCCAGTTTTTCCAGTACCATTTTGTTAAAGAGACTATGCTTTTTCTTTTTCTTTTTTTTTTTTAAAGATTTATTTATTTATTTATTTGACACAGAGAGAGAGATAGCCAGAGAGGGAACACAAGCAGGGGGAGTGGGAGAGGGAGAAGCAGGCTTCCCGCCGAGCAGGGAGCCCGATG